GTAAGTGCCTTCACAAAGATGGTGGAAAGATTTTTTGCAAAAATGTATTATTATAATAAAAGGAAAAAAGAAAGCTGTTGGTAAATTTGGTGACACTGTAATACTCATGGACTAGTCAAACCACAGGGTTCTGAGAATATTTTAAATGAAAGATTTTCGTGATTTGGTAACCTTTTTCTTATGCTTCAATAACAAAGGTGATGGACTACAGGATTTCACGAACTCAACAATCATTATCTATGGAGGGTGCAGATCCAACTCAGCAGGAAGCGAAGCTATTATTAGAAACTCCTTCAATAACGAGGGCAACGGAGTCCAATATTTTCACAACACCACCGTCATAATTTTTGTTTAACAAGGTCTAAAATTAAAAGGAAAAACGTTACTGTAAGTAAGAATTTAAAGTTTTTTTTTTTGTGAGCATGGGAAAGTTTTTATAAAATTAAATACCTAAGGAAACGTGTAATTTATCATTTTACATTTGTCCTTAAATAATTGTCCTCACTCATTTTCCTCTCATTTGTATTAACTGTTTCTCGCTAATTAGTTTTGTATAAACACTTCGCTAACGTTTTCTCTCGTTCACATTGTACCCTCGCTGAATGATGCGCTTTAATTGATTCTTGAAACATTAGGATGACAAAGATATTTATGGATGAAATATATATTTATTATTCACAAGTTTTTTAATATTCACTTGTAAATGAGTTGAGTGTGAACATTATATTATTTATATTTACAGATATTTTTTATCTCTAAAAAATAAAAATAAAAATTTAATTTATATTTTATTAAGTTAAATTTAATTAAAATTAACATTAATTTATATTTTATAAGGTTAAATATAATTAAAATTAAATTTTAATATATACTTAATTTAATTTATATTATATTTTATATATTTTTATAATTTTATTTAAATTTTATTAATAATTTTAAAAAAATATATTTTTTAAAATATTTGTGAGTATTCACGGGTATCCGCAGATTTTAAAATACCCACGAGTATTTTTTAAGCGGATATCCGTGCGGATAGTGAGTCGGGTAGTGAATGAATTTTTTTTTGTCGGGTCGGGTTTCGTGTAGACACTATCCCTAGTCTGCATGTTTATTTTTGTCTTTCTTCTCTTGTTAACAATTCAAGCTTGTTTAAGATAGTCATGTGACTTTGTTTATTAGATAAATAAGATAAGGTGGATTGAGATAGAATAATCCAAATCAAAGTTACAAAACCTAATGGAAGAATGAGAGTTGCTCCCTCCACCACCCCAAATCCTTACCCGATCCTACTATTTTTTTTATTCTAAAAACTACCATTTTTACTTAACCTTTTTCTTTTTTTACGAAAATCCTAAATCTATACTTCTTCCTTTTCACTCTCACATCTGCACAGTCCCACACCCACCCCCACCCCCAATTCTCACTTTCTCTTTTTCTCTCGACTCCATATTTGTTTCTTCTCAACTCATTCTTCATATTTGTTTCCACTTCTTTAATTTTTTTTCTCCATTTTGGTCTCTTGGTTGTGCGGTGTTGGTTCGGTGTTGGTGCGGAGGTGGTACGTTGGTGGTGCTTTGGTGTTGCTTCATTCTTGGGTGCACCTACGATTAAGTTTGGTCTACTGGTGGCTGCGTTTTCTTTTAGAGCATTTTTACTCAACTATATCAGCTTGTTTGTGCGTTTTTGCTCAATAGCTTTAGTTTTTTGTTCAGTAACATCACTACCAACTTTGGGACTTATTATGAAATTAGCTTGATCTTCAGATCTTTATCCCTTGCTCCGCAATGCGTTTTAAAACAAGCTTTTTTCCTTCCAGTTTTACTTTGATAATATATTTGTCATCTAAATCTTTAATCAAACAACTTTTATTTTCAAAGAAAACTTTTTTAACCTTTCTCAAGTAGTTATCTAACACTCAATAATTTTTTATCAATTTTAAGAACATATACTATTCCCTATTTTCTTACAGTAAGTATTACAAAAGTAAAATTTTTGGTTTGTAATGCTTCATAGGATTGGGTTGGAAAAAAGCAAAGAAAGAGTTAGCACGAATCATCCAGAAAAGGGTATAGACTTCATCAGAAAATAAATGTCGGAAAAACTAGTTTCTACTTCTTTTAAATAAGGATTTCTTAAACGGATATCCACCTCCTTTTGTTCTTCAATGTGTTCACTTTACATACATTTAAGAAGGATAAAAGAGGAATTGAAAGGTGCAGAGAATATTCTGAAGTGGTAGAGGGAGTAACTCTTGGGAAGAATAGGATGACTTGTTATTATTATTACTTCTTGTCATATCCCATAACTTTTAACAGGAGACTAGCTAATTTCTAATTAACTTTGTTTTATTGGGGAAAAAAAATTAAAGCTCGCCCCGTTAAACTCTAATATATGCTTTTCTTCAACATAATACTAAATCTTCCTTACTAGAAAGGAATTCGATGTAATTAAAGACCAATAGGATCAATCTTACTAAGAAGAATGGAAAAATAAATTATAAATTATACTGTGTGGAAACCCAAATAGTATGGCGAAAAAAAAATCTAAAAATAGAAAAAAGTCACTATCATAATTTATTTTGAAAAGCTAGAAAGATAAAACATTTGTTTATGAAATTGGATTTTGAATTTAGAAGTCGATTACACGTAATAAACTGTTAGCATCCTGCCCTTGTACTTTTAATCAAACATGCAAAAGAGATAAAGTTTTGCAAAATATTGAATTTTCTCAACAAAAAATAATAATAATAATAATAATAAAATGCTGTACAAAAGAAATTAAAAATGCATTTTTTTTTTGAAAAAAATTGTCGACAAAGATTAGTTATCTCTTCTATTTATTGATATTCTCAGTAGAAAATTAAGGTTTACGTAATTTGAAAAAACTATTTGCAAAATAATTGTAATAATTTTTTATTTTTGAAATGAATTGGTCAAATACTAACCTTGTTTCTTCATATTTTTATTCATCGTGAAAAATCAGTAACACGTAATTTTTAACAATTATTTGTTTGAGTGTTGGTTTGAATTTTTGATTTAATTTTTTTATATTATATATACAAAAAAAGTTGAAGGTGAATAAGTAAACATGTGGGGGTACACGTAGTAAAATATGAAAACTAAGTGTGGAGTCTATGTTAAGTGGTGCGCAGGCAAGAAAGCCCCAAAAGAGAATGTGGGGTGTAGTAAGTAAAATAAATATTAAGCTCAAAAGCATAAAAAGATACATGTGGATGTGGAGTTAATAAACATTACGGGTAAATGGGTCAACCAATTGTGGTGACAAACGAAAAAGGGGATGCACGAAGCAACCCAGCTCAGCTCCAATTGCACCCTAAATTCAACAAAAAAAACAGGGGCAGCTTTCTTTCCCCGACCTTCATCCTCGTGGGCACTCTTCCCTTCTCCATCTTCAACGCAGCCATGGCCCAACAGCTGTGCCACCTCCACCAAAAGTCACAGTAATTTTGGAAATGTTTCAAAAATAAGATTATATATGCTTCATTTAATTAACCATATATAAAAAGATAGCAAAAGATTATATTTAAAATCAGATGAAAGGGCAAAATCGTAATTCTCCGTCACTTTTAATAGTTGATTATCATTCAAGAATAGAGAAATTAAGTTTTAAATTAAATGACGAAAGAGTAAAATCGTAACTCTACCTCAGCAGCCCAACACAACATAGTATTTGTTGTTCCAGAGCAGCCATTGACAAATCCTGGCGGGTTGATGCATCAACAACGAGGGAATCCGTGATTGCTGAACTTGGTTTTCTCATTCTATTGCGTACAGCAAGCAGTGCAAGTCGAGATTTACGCGTGTCAACCAGACTGTGAATGCCATAGTAATTAATTTATACATAAAAAAATGTAGATTTTTATATTTCTACACTACACAGTTGATTGGAGTTAACAGCTGGTAAGTGTTGCATTTGCCTGTTTTATGCCCACAATATCTGCCAGTAGGCTTACTTGATTCACACTTCTGAGCTGAACCCTGTTAATGTTGGTAATTTCTGTGGAATTGCACTTCCCATGACCAAGTAAAAGTTAGGTAGAAATAGAATTACAATAAGAACAGTGGCGGTTTGAGTTTCTTATTACCAGGACTTTTGACAATCTTTTATGGTACTTCTTCTTCATGTATCAGATTACTTGATATCTGGTCCTTGGAGCTTGTGAAGATTCAGTTGTGGACTTTGCCAGACACTTGTGAGAAGGGGGTTTATGCTTGATTCAACGTGTAAAAACATTTCTCTCGTAACTTTCTAGGAAGTGGGAGGGAGGTAATGTTGCCTTATGTTATTGTTTTATTTAGAAAAAACAACTAACATTATAGTTTGTACGGCGTGAGACAAATATTATTTATGTAATATAAATACATTTTTTGATACATGAATTGCATTTTAATTGAAGTTTATAATAAATAAACATATTTTACAATAATTTGTCGTGGACATGGTTAGAGCACGAAAACACTATGGTATCATCTGATCTCTGTAACACCTTTGGTATGAGAAAAAGATTGGTTGACGTTGTTTAGCTGTCTTTAAAATGTGTAAGACATCACAATAGAAGATGGAAAGTTGGAATTAGAGCATACGATCAGAAACAAATTAATAAAATATGTAATTTTTAGTCTGATTGCGATTCCAATTGTTTCGGAAAACAGTTCTATGAAATAAGTATTAGAAACAACTTCTAGTATGGCAAAAAAAAGCATTAGTCCTATTTCAGCATGCTTAATGAAAGATACGATAAAAAGTTTTAACAGTCCAATTCACGTTCCAAAAGAATAGGCACATTAATGATAGTTTTTATGACTGTGTTTGTTTACCACTAGCACGAGACACGCACACACCGATCACTATCTCCTTGTGTGCTCTCTGCAAGCACCACGCACGAACAACCAAACACAACTTTGGATGCCCAATGACAGATGACATTCTCAAGAATTCACCAGACAAGCGTTCTGTTAGTTTTATAACAACATTGTATCAAAAAATAATTCTGCTAAATACAACAATATTCGGGTGAGTCAATAAAACTGTGTTCAATACCTGCAACGGTTGGCAAGTTACAGGTTCATAACGAGAATTGAAATAAAAATAATAAGATGAGAAACAGAATTGATGGTCCATTGGTATCTGCACTAGCCATGATACTTGAAAACAAACATATAGTACATGAAGGTGAACTATATATATATATATATTCTAAGACAAACGAGCAATACTTGCAATGCAAACAAACATATAGTACATGAATGTGAACTATATATATCTAAGACAAACGAGCAATACTTGCATCTTAACCATGGACGATGCCAGCTGCAACTTGAGCCTGACGTCTGAAAGGAATCAAACAAATTCAAAGAACCAAGTCCTAGTCGATTTTCAGATCATCACTGCTTTTCCCACTGCTTCCTCTACACCTTGAGCAGACAGTAAATAGTTAAATATCATCTCACCTACAATTAAGAGACGCAATAAGGAATTTTAAGGCAGTTCCATATCATTCAAAGAAAACATCTGACCTTCCTAAACAATGGCATATTGTATTTTGCACATATGTTGATAATATATACACACACATACAACTCTGAATCCCGTTCATAATTTAGATGACTTATCTTTCCAACATAGTCACCTTATTCTTAATGAATTAATTTATGCCTACAATATGATCTAGGGCATACGTTGTTCTAATCCACAGAGCAATCTTGAATCATCAAATTCAAGGTACAAATCTGGAGTCACTCTTTTTCTTCTTTCCAAAAAATGATACTCTATAAATCATTAAACAATTTGAATATTAATTCATGATATAAAATACTCAGGCTGGAGAAATCCAAAATGGTAGAGTACAAAAAATACACAAATGCATAATGCAGGTGGAATTAAAAATGCATCTCACCAGTTCTCTTCTAGTGGAAGATTACGATTGTAAAATGGAAACTCCAAGAGAAGGGCTTTTTTGAACCATGCCGGTAAGTTCCCATAGACTGATGGTGGCAATGGGATTAAAGGGCTGAAAATGATTTAGCTTAGTCACTTTTTTCTAAACGACAAAACAACATAGCATCATCCCATTGGCTAGAAAGATATTTCTCCTTACTAAAACAGAAAATAAATAATAAAATGGAGGTAAACTAACCTTGTTCTTGTTTTGTATATCCTATATCCATCTACATTACCAAACTTCTTATCTGCCGAATCCTGTTTCCATCATGCAATTCATCATCAGGAAAGCCATGAAGTTATAGCATAAATTTTGATAAAATAATAGGTAAGAAGCAAACCTCAAGCAGCGGAATGCCACTGACAAAAAGAAGCAACGATGTGAGAAAGATCGGTCCAATGATAACCAGCCATTCAGCACCCTCCAGTACAGGTGTAGAGGCCAGAAATATCCCCCACCAAAGCAATATCTAAGTTAAGCATTCATGACCCATCAAGGTTTTACGTTAGTTTTCTAATAAAATAAGAAATATTGTCAAAACATTGAAACCCCAAAAAATACCAAAATCAACCAGTAGCCAAGCAGCAAAAAGGAAGAAAATTATCACTTTAGTTTATCTTACATAGAAGAGGTAGGAATGTAAAAGGATAGTCTATTCTGGCATATCTCAGCAACCCTATGCACATTTTCGTGGAAATAGCTATACAAAATCCCAAGTCACAATTTATCATTGGTTGAAATTTATTTGAAATCATAAAATTTTGTAGGTCTCATTTCTAATTTAATAAGCTCTACTTTTGATTTTGTAGTTTCCAACAAATTTTGACCAATAGTAGAGTGATTAAGAAAATTTGTTGCTAGCATTCTCTGTATAATAAAAAAAGTTATACATATATTGAAATAAAATATGCATGATACGATACACATATATTGATATTATTTATTTCAAAAATTAATTTAATTTAAAATTTATATTTATTTTATCCTACAATTCAATTATATATAATGTTGAAATTGACATATTACTGGATCAGTTTCAAACTCATAGATGGCTCTTTCAAATTTTTTGTCCAATAAGGACAAAGACAAACTTGTCCTAAGCATACCCCTAACTGCTGCAGCTGCACTAATAGTGTGTTAGGGTAAATAATTTAATTTGACAATTAATCGATAATTTTATTAAATGAGAGCTCACATATTATATCATAAGCTAGACTTGAACCTTACTCAATGAGTTGAAAAAGAAAAACCTATTTCAAAAAGCAACACAATAATTGTTGAAAGAACCTAAAGATTATTAGAATAATCCTAGCTGAATTCAAAAATTCAACTAAACTTACTGTACATTCTTCCATATACAACCTGCAATACCAAAATATTTTCGTTTGAAAGCAATACTAGCACGTACCTCACCAAAATAGTTAGGATGACGAGAATATTTCCAGACTCCAACATTACACCACTTCCCTCTATTTTCTGATGATCTTTTGAAATTCAGCTTTTGTTGATCTGCTGTACCTTCCACAATGAAACCGACAGCCCACAAGATCCAACCTATTATATCCACAACATGTAGAAAGGGATTTCTGTCGCTTGCATTAACCAATGTAACCGGTAAACTCACAGTCCACACCCAGGCAGCCTGTAAAAAATCAAAGTAAATTGACCATTACAAGCACCAAAAGAGAAGGTTTCCTGATACAAATCATAAAACAAAAATGATACAAATCTAAGAAACCTGAAATATCCAAAATATGGCCAGTCTACCCAAATTATTACGCATTTCATCAAAGCGTCGGTCTTCTCCCCACTGCAAAATTCTGACAAACATATTCAGAAATTAGATCAACTATGGGACATGCATAAAGACACTTAGATAACTAATAGTCCTGACATTAAGCTGCATCCTACTGTTGAAGGCAATATAGCTTGAGGATGAAGATTTAGAAGAAATGAAACATTCATGTTCTGGCAAAGTAAAAGGTAGTAGATAAAAAGAAAAACAATTTATGAAAGTGGTCCAAATTGTAAAAGATACATGGGATAAACCACGTATAAATCAATAAAATTATACTACTCAATGCTCTATAGTAGTACTACAATGGTGCCACCAGGTGCACGATTTACTTTAATTGCAAGAAAAGCACAAAAGACACCATTCAGTCATATTACATGGACATATACATATACATACCTGAATAACAGGAAAAACGCCAGGCGAATTCCCCATATCACAACAAACAAAGTCAGGATTATCTGAAAAGAGTGATTTTATTCAACATCGATCGGAACCCAGGTAGGAGAATAAAGACTGTTTTGTAATCGTCAATTATAATCTGCTTTTATACTGATAATTCAAAATACACAAAAAAGAAAAGGATATGTCAAATTACCTGCCGAAAATACCAGGAGCCTTTGATCACCAGGGTCAATACAGCAATTATGATGAAATTCGTGCTTCCTTCAAAGAGAAATTGATGGCAGAAAGATTTCAACAATCACTTCGTTTTATTCATTAACAGAACAATACAAATTACCAGCCACTTCTTTGTTTATTACCAGAACATAATATAATAGTAGTTACTTTTTGAAGTCAAAGAAAAGGTCAAAATGCGGTAAAGAATAGCGATACCCGCAAAATCAGTGACTTTGTCGAATTTGAGAAGCGCAGTGATGACGAAAAACAGAAACTGATAGCCAATCTGAAAAATTAAACAAAGATAAGTAAATGTCTGAGAAGAACAGAAATAGAAATGTATGAGATTGCGAAAAAAGAGAGAGAAGAAATCGAAAATGCTTACAGTGACAAGTGCGGTGAACGCTAAGAAATGAGAGTCGATGATAGTAGCCATTTTCTTTGCTTCTTCGAGGGAACCAAGAAGAAGAAGAAGATGATGAAGAAGAAGAAACGTGAAAGAGGTTGAAGTTTCAAGACAGCGTGTTGTAGTGTGTGGTGTGGATGAATATATAACCAATGGTTTTATGGGTGAATGAGAATTGCGAGGAAGCAAAGTTTGTATATTTATTATTTAAATATTTTTATTTTAATTATTTATCTTATTAGAATGTAAAGTATAACCATCGTTTAATTTTTTTAAAAATATTTAAAACTTTTATATTTTTTAACTTAATCTTTATCAATTAATTTTGTTTTAATACATAGTGTACATCTCATTCAACGAAAAATTTAATTGATAGAAACTTGATTAAAAAATATAAACAAAAATTAATAAAACTTAATTCAAAATATAAACAAATTCACAATGACTTAAAATATAATTAGACATATATAAATATTGTTATGTGAAGGAAATTAATAAATAAAGACGGCTTGAATAGTTTTCTTATTTATGCAATTTAGTGTATTTTTTAAAAAACTTTAAATTCTATATGTAGTTGTAAATCTTCCATTTTTAGTTTTTGTTGATGAATTTTGGCGGGAGAAAAGTCATTGTTACAATAAGATGACATAAAAGTATAACTAATAAAGTGATATATTTCTTTAAAGTCAATGTTTATGACTACAACTAAAAATGAATAAATAAGGTAGGTAAATAAAACAATTACAAATTCGAACAGTAAATTATTTAAGTTTTCTCTATACTATTAATTTACTTACAAAAATAAATTATAAATAAAATGTAATAAAAACAAAAGAACAATAAAATTGAGTTCTTTGACGAAAAGGTGTTAGTGGAGACATTGGAATTGTGTCATTTGTGAGTATTAATATTTTAGAGATAGATAAAGATATAAGCCTTGTTCATGTGAACAGTTTGGTTGAGTCTTCTTTGGCGGATATTGAAAGAATTTTCTGACAATTTATTTTTGTAGTGGTCTTGGTTTTGAATAAGGGCGGATCTTTTTTCTTTATATTTATATAATTAATATATATAATTTAAATTATTTTTTTAATTTTTAATATATTTTATATATTTGACATTTCTAATTTTTTTTATATCTATATATATATATATAGAAGGATTTTAACACTAGAATATGTTTCCGATGTTTAATAAAATCAATTAACATATAGTTAAAATTGAATAGAAAATTAACTAGAAGTTAAAAAAAAAACTAGATTGAAAATGTTTAGTAATAGATTTGATGTTATGCATTTAGTCTAGATTGCTAATTTACTGTTATAGATTTAAAATAATTTTCATTTTTATAGATTAAGTGATAGATTCAGTAAAATGATATAAAACTTATTTTTATATTTGTATTATGAACAATATGTTATTTTTATTATAACTTCATTTATTTACTTACTTGAATTAGTTTAAAAAATATTTATTAACTTAAAATCTTAAATTAATTTTTGTAAAAGCACATTTTCTTTTAACTAGATTGATACAGAAGTTATGATGGTGACAAAAAAAAAATCAAAATTTTAACCTAATTGACCTTTAAGTTGAATTAGTAATAACAAAAAACACTCAACCCAATCAAATATTTTTTTTATGAATTGGATAATAGATTTGCCTAAATCCTATCTAATCCAACTCCTAATTTCTTCTTTTTCTATCTTAATAAATCTTGTATATTGTAAATTTATGGGTTGAAAAGAATATTGACATAAAACACGTGGTGTATGTGTTTTTTTATTTGATAAAATAAATTATTTTAATTTTAAAAAATAATTCAGTTTAAACAAAAGGTTAAACTTAAAATAATGAACATAAAAAGTAAAATGGGTAAAATTAGTAAGGTCATATTTTACTTTGAAAAAGTAATTATTTAAAAGGTAAAATGAAAAAGAAAATATGTTCACCTAGTATAGATAATAAGTTGATGAAAAAAATATTAAGTAAATACATAATCAATCTTGTTATTAATCAATATGGACAATAAGATAGTCCCATAATTGATTTTACACCTACATAATATGGACAATAAGATAGTTCCATAAGTTAGAAAACATCTTTTAACACTGTTCTCTACAAATGAAATTATGTATGTATATGGTAATTAATACTATCATGTTAAAAATAGTAATTGTAAAAAACCTTATTACAAAATTGAATTGAGAAGGGCTAAAAATATAATAAACAATGCAATGGAAATTTAGATAAAATCAAAACCAAATAGAATGCTACAAAAAAGAAAAGCAGAATGCTATAGAGCCCTAGTCATATTATCAAAACTGATACGAAGAAAATCTAAAACTTGTTCAAGCACGAGCTGCTCCCTTGAGGCTAACCATGCGAGTAGACACATCGCCATGGGATCCCCTTAATCCTGAACCCCTTTGAGCAGTCCTCCCTGAACCTCCATATGAAGCACCTGTTCCTCGTCCCCTTGAATAGCCACTCCCAGCTGCTTGGCCTAATGCCATTGGTCTTCCACCACCACCACCATACCCGGTACGCCCACTGCCTGATCTTGGCTGAGAAAGGGACAGGTCTTGCCATCTACCACCTGAAGATGTTGTTCCACTGCCGGCTGCGGCGGCTGCGTAGTCCTGGCCATCTCTCCGCCTTAGAGGCAGATCTAGTCCACTACCACCTATCCTTGCTTCTGTTGCTTTTTCATTATTCTCCGCAAGAATAGATAACTTCTCGGTCAACTGGAATGCCAATGCCTGCAGCCTAGAGTGTTCGACATCTTGGAAAAGAATGCATTCGGTTGGCTGGTCCCAGCTTGCATAAAGCTCCTCATTGATCATCATCCTACTGACAATGCTGTGAGTACGAGAAACAGAGAGATCAAAAAATTTTGTGAGCTGATCTAAGCACAAGGATTCATAAGACGAAGAGAAGGTAAAGAGGTATGTCCTCAATGCCTCCTCCTTGATTTTGTCCTTCAACATTTCAAGCACACTGTCTCGATTTTTCACAAATTTCCATACATCAAGAGTCACAATAATGTCATACGCCTTCTGGAAGTCTCCCTTGCGAAGAACCCTTGTAGCAGCCATAACATGGTCTCTCACATTTTCCGGTGGACCAGTAAATGTTTGTTTCTCGCTTACTTCAAGCAAGCGTCGGAAAGTTTTACTAATGACCTTCCGTTTGGCATCATGAACATTGGCTGCCAAGTTGGGAACTTCCAGCAGCATAGCAGATACAAGATGTACGGCCTCCAGTAGCTCAAGATTGATGTGCATATGATATGGCATCTGCCGTCTTCTTTCCAACCTTTCCTGAAAGATAAATGAGAAGAGTTATCAGCAACATTAAAATGTAATTTATCCAATTCTAGAACAAAGAATTGATTTAAAATGAATTAAAATACTGTTGTCCAATCACAAGATGAAAAGTTAGTGTCTATCAGGAAGCAACCTGATAATTGCAGAACCAACAAAAAAACAAGAAAGCCAGATCAGCCCTCTCTTGACGAGTTGAGTACCAGCATGCTGACCAAATGATTATTAGTTTTACATTACTTCAATTTCTTTCAGTTCTTTGGCTATAAATTCTCCCCATGATGTCATTTTTCATATAAAAAGGTTTACCTCTTCAGTACTAATTTACATGGCACATCTAAGCAGTTAAACATATTCATATAATTTTCTGATTAATTGCAATGCATCGATTAACAAAGCATAGTTTCACTAAACAAATTAAGTTTAACACGTAATGCCTGAGGAGGATCTAGGTATTTTAAGATATATTTTTGAAAACATCATGATAAGAAAAATAGCATAATCATACACGTATACATAAGCTTATCTTACAAATACTCCTTCAGTAACTTAGTAATAACAACAAATGCATTGAACTCTGAACAAAGACAGGCACCTAATAAGCTTCCACAGTATCAATCAATTGAAAATAGGAGGTCAATACCTGCTCTGGAGTCTTCTCGTGATAACGACTTTGTGACACACCTTGTGCCAGCAACTCCTTCACCCTTCCACCAGAGTAGAGTTCAGACAGACAGCCATGTGCTTCAGAAATCAGTCCAACCCGAAAAGCGCATAAACCTAACTGTGACATAGCCCTGTTAAAAAGTATCTGCGTTGAAATGTCTAAATGCTGAACACTATCTTGCAAATGGCTCATAAGCAGGAGATCACGGGCAACTGAGAACTCATCAAGAAGTGCATGCTGATATATATCACAGAGCATTGCACGTGCTTTAGTTCGCTCATCTCCATATTTGTATATCAAAGATACCAATACATCCATCAAGGTCCTGTTATACTCAGGGAAGGTGGGTTTTCGTGCCACAACCTCTGGGGTAGCAACAAATGCAGTTGGAACTCTTGGTTCAAATTCTTTAGACTCCTCACTTGCATCCCCTCCGTTCTCCCCAGCTTCGGTCAACTCAGTCAATTTTCTCATGGCATCATAAACCTCCTGTGGTTTGTAGTAAATGAGCTCAACCCTCCTCAAGGCCACCTTAGATGCGGCTTTGAAATTTCCAACTCTTTCAAGATATTCCTGAACATTCTGAGCAAGAACCAGAAACGTGGGTTCATCCCTAAGTCTCTCCACATAGTCACGTGTATGAGGATCTATGCATTGCAAGCTCTTGAAAAACTCAACATCAATTCTTTCTAAGAAAGCAACTAAGTTACCCCAAACCCGAATTGGTCCATTATAGTCAGTACCTTTCTGAGTTTCATTCTCATCTGGTTCCACAGAATCATCGACCACTATGTTTGGGTACTGGACTAAAATATCAAGAATGATCAGCATGTTCTGCACACATTTTTTCCATACATTTATCGGCATGTATCCATTCAGACCTGGATTAACATCAAACTGAGCAGAAACCACACTGAACAGAATTTCCAGCTTCTGTGCAGGTGTCTTAGCAACTTTTGTTAGGAAAGTGAGCTGCTCAACCTGTTCAAACCTCCCAGTTCCCTTCCTTCCTCTAGCAGACACAACCTCTTTAAACTTCTTGTTAACAGCGTCCCAAGTGATCTCACTAGGGTTTTTCATGAACTGTCTATCTAAAAGTCTGTCCTTCTTGCTAAGCTTTTGGTCCCAAGGACCTTCATCTGGCTTCTCATCGTCATATTGAGAAGCTTCAGAATCCGATTTGGCTTCTGGTTTTCGAAGCTGCTCTGGATCAATAATCTCATCATCACTTTCATAATCTTCCTCACTCTCCTCTTCCTCTTTCTCCTCCTCACTCTCAGGGTTCTCCCTGCACTTATTAATCAACTCCTCGTACTGCTTGTTATTCTTCTTCAGCTTCTGCTTCATTGAATTCAAGGCTTTAGCATTGCTACTACTCATTTTCTTCTTGGCATCCTTATTAGCCAAAGCCTGAGTCAAGAAATCTTCCAACATCACAAGTGCCTTGATGTAAAGGTTGGGGACCTTCACCGACTCAGTGATGCGCATGACTTTCTCAAGCTGTTTGTTAATCTTGTCAAAATTCTCTAGCAAGCTCACCCAGTCGTTGATCTTCATGGCATTCTTCATCTGGTCGACAGTGGAAACCATCTCCTCGAAACGCTTGTCTTTAGCCGACCTGACAACACGTTTTTGGCCATCGGAATCATCACTGTCACTTGCATTGTCCTGCAGGTACCTGCTTGTCACTGCTTGATTGGCAGAATCACCAACCGCCGTTTCGACCTCCTCGTCATAATCGCTCTCCTCCTCCTCGGAATCACTTCCACCCTGCCATTAAGTAAATAAAACACGATTTGATATCGCATACTTTCCACAACTCAATGAATCAAAACATAATTAAGAATGTGCTAAGAACCTGGGTCCAGAATCTCGAAGCCATCCTTTGTCAAAAGTCGCGAGGAGCGTCAAGAATCTGCAAATGAACATAATATAAAACTGTGGCTGTATGGCGAAAGCATAAAATCAGATAAAAAAACATATTTTTTTAAAACAATCGTCTCACAAAAAAGTATGAAAAACCCTATCCTATTGAGTCTTCTTCCAAATTTACGGAAAAGAAAAGCACAGGGACGATCGGTTATTCAACAACAATCCCATGACTCAATATTCAACACTAAATTTGTCAATTAAGCGTAACAAAATTCTCAACCAAAACAAACCAACTATGAGAAAAACCCACAACGTTGGGTGATACAATGACACCCAAGTAGACGCCTTTGTTTCACTCGAGCGCAAAAGGAAACGAAATAAATCGAAAAATGGAACAGAGAAAACGAAACATGCATACATAAACAGATTAATGCGGACAGAGTAAAGAAGATCAAAATGGCGTGCCTACCGATTTGCGATACGAACGAAGAGATTAGGGAGAAGACAGAGAATGAATGAGATTTGGAATGTGATGAGTGAATCAACGTTGGTGAAGAAGAATTAGGGGTTTTGTATACTAAACTGGCCAGAGCCTACGTGCTGTGTAACGTGTTATGTTGGGAGTGTTAAGGAAATAGGGTTATTAGAGGGCACTACTAGAGAAGAAAACGGAGAAAGCAAAAGTTAAAAATTAAAAATTAAAAATAAAATAATATATATATATATATATATATATATATATATATAAAGAAAAATGGGAAAACAATAAATATAATATTCACTTGATTGTAAAAATAAATACATTTAATGCAGATATAGATAAAAACTTTTACATTCTAATTCAATTAAAAATAGTAATTGATATGATTTTAAAATAATTATGATATAAGAGAAAAAAAAGCACATGAATTCATTTTTAATTTGTTGATGATGTGAAGTTTTCAAAATTTAGAATAAATTTAGCAAGCTTAGGAATATGGTCATGTGCTATTAAATTATAATACAAAGCGTTTTCTATTATTAGTATATGTTATTTTTGAAATAATAAATAAAATATTTCAAATAATATTTTTATATTGCAACTTTTTAAAAATAATTTAGATAAAATAAATAAATTTTTTGGTTTATTATTTTCTCTAAACCTAAAATTACGAATTGTTTTTCAATTTTTTTTATAAAAAACTTAAACTAAAAAAAAATCCATTTTTTCTTCATTCTATGTTTTTTTAAGTAATAGTAGAAATTTAGTTTAATCAAAAAAGTTTTTTTCTAAAATTAAGCCTATTAACGTTGGGTGGCTATTACTTTGTTTTGCAGGGGATGAAATGTTTTCGATAATCCATGCTTTATATAAAATCATATTTTCAAAAATTGGTGAGGTACTTCTTTTCAATTGTTTGGAATGAAACCACATTCAAATACTTATCTCAGGCCAATCATTCCTTGAGATTTAGGTTAAAAGTACAAAGCATCCTAACTCATCCAAATCCCTCACAAGATTCTGGTTCATCTGTTTTAGCTGACCCTTTACTGATAAATGAAAACTGATATCTTTTGATTCTTCATTACAGCTGCCAATGCTATTGATTAACTTCTTCTAAATAATGTTAATAGCAAAAACTAGAATTTAGCATATGCAGAGTGATAAGAAGTGCGGTACAAGTTGAATATTACTGCTAACAGTTGATATTATTGCAGTTAGACAAACTTGTTCACTGTTGAAATGTATATTACCTTTCAATCCAATTGAAAAGAATGAGAGAAAAAATGGATAATAATCTTATATGATACAAGCTGAGCAACCTGCATTATCGGTTTAAGGAATTATGAACAATGGTAGGACTTACTAGAGGAAAATTTGCATTCAATCATTAAGCAGGAGCAATGGAGACTTTGTCAACCTCTACAATATACTCAAGGGTTGCAAATGGAGGAATTTGCACACCAGTGCCTAAGTCAGCACCATTCTCTCCAAACCCCAACTGAGGAGGGACTATTACCTTCCTTTTGCCTCCAGCCCTCATAGTTTTTAGCACATATTCTATCCCTTCACACACTCCCTTACTGTATGGCCTTGATCCCATCACTAGAGCCAATGCTTTCTTCTCTCCTTCAAATGTGTTCACAAACACTTCTCCATTGTTTTCAACTTTTCCCATGATATCAATCACAACCAGATCACCAGGTCTTGGTGAAGCACCACCACCAACTTTCAATTCATAGTACCTGTAATTCAACGCATCAGAAAATAACGCATCAGAAAATGAGGCCTATAACTGTATAAAATTACCACCTAGCATATGATAGAGTGTGAAAGATAGTGAACCTTATGCCATTAGGCAGCAGCACCTCTTCCACCTTCTCAACATTCCTATGCAATACAAGAATCTCATCAGTCATCACTAAAGAACCAACTAATATATATAAGCTTTGCTGCATAATTTTGGTGAATGTAAGAAAAGAGGGTTGATGTTGAAAAGTCATCTTAATTGCAATGAGTTCTAACCTGCCTTAAAAAGGTCTACTTATAGAAAAGGGCTGGCCAAAAAGATTAAGTAAAACTTAAGTAGTGATTAAGGATATGATAAATGTAGTTCTTGTAAGACTCGGACACTTTTTACATTACAGTACAAACCAAATCCTAAGATCTATAGAAACTAGGAACACGGACCTTGTATTTGCCTCTTGCTGAGACACTTCAAGGCGAGTCTTGATTTGTTCTGAGATGACACCAAATGCAAGAAAACCAACCCATGCAAGACCTGCTCCTAGCCCAAACCTTCTGGTCAAGGAAGTGGCTATCCAATCTGTGGATTCAACCTTAGTGGATGAAGTGACTGGTTTGATGGGCTTCTGTTGCTTAGCTTCATTGGACACCGGGGGCTGAGATTGTGGTGGAGGAACTGGTGGAGGAGTTGGTGGTGGAGTTCCTGTTGAAGAAGAAATGTGATGAGTTCTGGGAAGGGGAAGGGAGAAAATTGGTGGGGAACCAAAAAAAGTAGCCATCTTGAGGATGAAAGAAAGTTGGTTTAGATAGAAAAGGTAAAAAGAAATATCTCACAAGGTCCAGTTAGGAGATTGTGGTCCCAACCTTATCCCTCTCAGGATCCATCTTAGCCTTTAGTTGCACATGTCACAGATGATAACATAAACTATAAAACCTTAGCTGTTACGTATAAATTATGCAGAACTGATTCTCTGCTTTTACAGTAAAACAAAAATAACACGTTTCTTTCTTTCTTTCTTTCTGTCTTAAAGGGGAAAAGGGAAAAGTTTCCCTACCAATGCCAACTATAGCTACATCATGGCTCTCAATCTTCCCAATCTATTATATATATATATATATATATATCTTAACATACTCTGCAGAAAATTTAAAGAGAACAATATTTGCTTGTGGAATATGAAGCATGGTAATTGTTGCCTCATATGTCAGTAGTCTTTTAAAATCTGAGGTAAATTTTCTTTTGATCCTCAAATTTGAAATTAATCTTTTAAATTGAAAATATTTATTTTAATATTTTTGATCTAAATACCGCTACAAACTTTATTTATATAATTAGCAATTACTAGTCGTTGCCTTAATAATGTGTTATCATCAGATATTAAATCAGATGTTTGCTTACATTTTAGTATGAAACACTTGGATAGATGAACTAAAACTTAATCTGAGTTTAATTGATTAAAAATATATTTAAACTTATTCACTAAATATAAATTATACTAGTTAATGTATCAACCAAGTGAGACCAACTCCACTAAAATACAAAACCTATGTTGTTGCTCAGTCTCTAGAAACACAAACAACTGAATAAATAACATTATTTTTCCTTTAACAGTGTGCAAGTCCAAGAGAGAAATGCAAGGCTCACAGAGAACTTAGCACATTAACCCAGTTAACATGGTCACTAATTACAGAAGCAAGCAACTTTCAATTATGTTAATCCTTTCTTCTATCCAAATTACAGTTGCAATTTTCCGTTACTATTTATGAACAACAAAATTTAGACACTGATTACAACATGTTTCAAAGAATTTTGTACAAACAAATGGTACAACCTGACACTAACAGCACTGTGGATAACACAGAAAAGAAAAGGAAATGGAGGAAAACAAAGAAGGAGAAGGAACTAGAGGAGTGAAAACCTTGAATGAGAATGTAAGTTAGCTGAACCAATCACTTTTGTCAATCCCAAACGGTAAATACTCTACAATTTGCCCTCACATTTATAGCAGTAAAATGAAAAACAAAATGTTAGTGGTATAATTTTCTTCTATCCTGCGGGAAATTCAGTAACTCGTGATGACTGAGCACTTGATCTAGGCACTTGAGAAGCAGTAATTGGCCTCTGCAATGGCTTCAGAGCAGCCATGATTTCAGCAAATGTTGGCCTCAGCTTTGGATCTCTGTAATTCAGAAAAGTAGAATATCCAGTCATACATCTTATTGTAGAAAAGAAAAATATTCTATCACGTGCATAAATTTATTACATGCAATGACTGAGATATATTATTGCAACCTCGTATATACAACCTTAGAAACATGTTTATGCCCTTTAAAAGATCACATTCAAATAAGAAAACATATCATCTCCAACTGTTTCACCGTTTAAACTTAGAAATTCATCCATAGAGTTGGAGAACGTCAAACAGTCTAAACAGAATGAGAAGAACAGCTTCTCAGAGTGATATGCCACAATTCTATATTGTTAAATAGAACAGTATAAACATATTTGAGTCATAGTTCAGAATGGAAGGACAAAATGATTGAAAGTACACTCACGTCTGCCAGCATTGTCTGATAATATCTGCAATGACAGGGTCTACATCATCTGGAATGTCTAGACGGCGATGTTGGAAACCCACAGCACCAACAACTTGCATTGGATTCATTCCTCCCCAGGGTTGCTGCAACGTAGAGAGCTCCCACAATATGACGCCATAGCTGAAAACGTCGCACCTAGAAAATGAGTAGCAACTTGTCATCATAAAAGCATTGAGTTTTAAGAAGTGGCTGAGCCAACAAGAAAATTGGTTTGAGACAAGACAATGATAGAACAGTTTTTAGTGAACTGCAAAGAAAAACCTTGTTTTGTTTTACCTAAAACCGAAGATTCCAGAGGATTAACCAAGTTAACCAAGCTTATTTTTTTGTTGATAAAAGAATAATTTTAATTGCAAAGAGAAAAAATGGAATATTACATTCCTCCTAGGAAAAAAATGTGGATGTTAGCATCAAGAACCAACTCTCCAAAAATCTTTAGTTTTTAGGTGCAAGACCATGAATGTTTTTATTAATATTATCATTTCAGAAAAAATAAAAAGAGATATGGACCACATTGGAGAATTCGACCTAGCTGCAGTATCCAAGATCAACTGATGATTCTGTTTCTCATCATCAGCCTGATGCTAAGAAATCTAAAGATTCCTCATGATCAAACTATAGAAGACAAACATTTGATCTCCAGTCATGGAACTCAATCTGTCCAATACCCTATCGTGATTCATTGCTCCAACCTCAAATATGTTTTTCCTCAGTGTAAAGCCTTAAAAACCATACCTGAACATTGTAGAACCTTCCATATAGCATCTGAAGGTTATTATTATCCAACTTTTTAATTACCGAGTTTGACATGCAGTTAGTTCCTGTTTGGTATAATTAGCTTGCTTGGGATAGTATAAATTCTAGCAAATAATAACTTTTCCAAAAGCTCTTTCAGAAAGCTAACAAACATGAAAAATTATTTCTTCAAAATAAGCTGAATCAAACGTGCACTTAATCTAAATTCATAAATTTGGCTATTGATATTTAGAATAGGCTAAAGAATCAGTCTGTCCAGCCTACTTGTTAAACTAATGAAATCTACATAAATATTTGCATGCACAATGTGCTAGTCATTCATTTGTGGCAATGTTAAATAGAGGAAGAGTGGTGGGATTGGAAGGGTTTTCACAACACCTTCGTGTCCCTAAAGCAAAACAACAACTGCCAAGAATAACAGAGCTTACTTTTCATCTGAAAGTTCATTTCTCAACACTTCTGGAGCCATCCATTCAGCCTGAAACATATCATACACATAAGTATTTGCTTGCATATCCAATTCCAATAAGTTCTACTAGGTGGCCTTTCATCATTGCAGATAAAAGAATGATGATGCAAGAAAATATATGTCATAAACAATGCCCAAATTAGGAGCTTCAAAACGACAGAGCCAAAGCATAACAGAAAAACCGTAGTTTAAAAATTTACAGGGAAGAAAATCCTCAGCCTTCCAAAATTATTTTTTTGGTAAAGGATATACCAAGTGTCTTTAATTTGTGTTCTAACATATGATTATTAGCATGATATTATTTCATAAAGGGGACAGATTTTACAACAGCTATTGGACAAAGGAATCAAAATTATGATAGCTTACTGTTCCCGCAGTTGATCTGGAAGAAAGGAAGGTGCTATGCTTCATTCGTGATAAGCCAAAATCACATACCTATTCAACAGCAAAAAGAGTGATAACCTATCAACAAATAAAGTCAATCACAACACTATAAGGAACACATATCACAAGATTAGTTATCAGAACCTTTACAACCCAGTTTTTATCAACAAGAAGATTTGGGGACTTCAAATCACGATGCACTATCACTGGAGTACTGCTGTGCAGATAGTTCATTCCTCGGGCCTGAATAATCAAAAGAGAGAAAGGTTATAAATCATGACATCTCTGGTTATTACAGCAATAATTTACCGAGTGAAACTGCATTCACTAAGAGACAACAAGATCCTACAGCATCAAGGGCCATCCGCAACCGCCTTCGCTCATCTAATTGATTGTTAGGTCGGTGAATTAATCTATACAAACTCCCTCTGCAAAAGATTATCTACATCTCAGTATTCGAAGAATCAAACTCAGAAAGATATTAATCAAGTATAATAAATACCCTTGAGTGTGGTTATCTATAATTTCTGACTTCTTACGTTACCAGCCTAACAAACATCAGTATAAAGTGATTTTAGAAAATAATTTTTTGAAGATGAAGCATTACTCTTGTCTCAGAACAATAACAACTATTTGTCTATTTAATTGATTAAGCTGGTAGGGCAAGCAAATATCGACTTCTAAAAAATTGAGAATCCACAAGATCAGTCTCATTAAGCTCAGGAAATGAAGAAATTCAAGTTACCTAGGAAGAAATTCAGAAACAATTGAAAGATTTGGAGGCCGAGTTACTGCTCCCATGAAGAGAACAACATTTGGATGCCTCAGTCTTTTCATTATTTGGACCTATTGCAATTTACATAAATTAAACAAGCACCTCCATCATTCAACAGGGAACCAAATAAAGATGTAAATGAGATGGTGGCACAACAAAAACAACCAATATTACATAATAGCTGAAGAATTGACACAAAATTACTTCACACAATATTTTGAAGTGGTAAATCTTAAATTAGAAATATTAAAGAAACAACTCAATCAAACTATCTTCCATTTGATCCACTTATCTCACTAAAACTCTAAAGTCTCTACTGATATTATCTATTGACGAGACCAAACTATTGTACACTCAGATGGAATCATTGATCATATGGGACCATACATAAGTAGAAATGGAAAAAGAAGAAAACCGTAGGTAGGAAGTCCTTACCTCACTTTTGAACTCTTCAAGTAATTCACCAGAGATATCTTGATATAAGAACTTTTTTACGGCAACTTCCTGAAAAAATAAGAGAGGGAACATACTGTAAATATATATACTATATATATATAATCTACACAATGTAATAGGAAACAACGGCTATACATATATTGACAAGTGGTAAAATAAATTAGGTAGGAAATACTGCAACAAAATCACATTTTATAAAATGTTGTACTTGCATATACAAAGGTGCAATTGCAGTAGTGAAGGCTCACATTTCAATCCAAACAACGATGACTAGACTACCAATAATAATAAAAAGATGAAAAACTTCTGTAGTACACTAAATAATCCAATAGATAAGGTTCATGATGGTATGATACTCACAGTTCCATGCCATTCACCACGGTAAACTTCCCCATATGATCCTGCATGTCAAACACAAGCCACGCAATAGCAAATTGAGATTTTCTACAGAACAAGGACAACAACCAAGTGCTCCACTAAACACTAGCACTGTCAAACAGAAAAATGTACGACTAATATAGAACAATGCACAACCAATACCTAGTCCAATACGCTCTCCCATTTTGATTTCCTCCCATGGAATGTCATACTCGGCAACCTCATCCAGTGCAGAATCAGATTTGTTGCTGTCATTACTTACTGATCTGTCAGATTTTCTCTCACCTTCCGAGTTTTCTCCTAAAGGATTAGGCTCTCCATCACCACTACCCTTTGACTCAGAACCACCACCCTCTGTATCCCCATCACTTCGACTGTCCTGCTCATACTTACTGACAGCAGCAGTGGTTGCTACAACAGCTGCAGCAGTAGCAGTAGCAGCTGCTGCTACAGGAATCTCAAGATTAGAGTCAGTGTTTGATTTTGTCGCTGCAACTACCATAGAAGATGCAACAACAGCAGCTGCAGCAGCTGCAGCCGCTGCCACTGGGACATTTTTCCCGTACTTTACCCGAGCTGCTTCTGCCTGAGATGGTATGTTCTGTCCAACAGTTTCCCCTGTATCAAGGGGAAGACCAATTCCTAAGCCATCTACAGGCTTAGAATCTAGATGACTGCCGGGAGCTGCTTTGCGAAGAATTTTGTGGTAAGGCAAAGGAGGCAAAAATCGAGCAGGAACTAGGTTGTCATCAATCTTAATTTCTTGCTGCACACTTGGTTGTTTATTTTCATCTTTCTGTTC